CCCCCCATCCCCTGCCCTAACGAAGAAGACAGAAAGATCATGGAAAATACAGAGGTGCCACTGTGAGGGACCCAGCTCCTGGGCACTAACATCTGTGTCTCAGCCCATCAAGGACACAGGGTGACAACAGGGACCTCTGCCCTGCAGGGACATCTCAGCCCCAGATTCAGCATCCAGGGGCCAAGCGCCATGGAACCCAGCCCAAGGGGAGCAAAAGACCCCCCCACACACGCCATTGCCCAAAGGTAATCCTGCCCCCAAGGAAGGCAGAGGGGATGGTTTGCCACTCCCTGGCATTGCTCAGTCCCAAAAGTGGCTCTTCTTGCCCCACAGCCTGTGGGTAGAAGGGAAAGGGGACAAGGGGGCCCGGCGGGTCCATTCTGCTCTGCAGGAAAAGCCCCCAGCACCTTCCCCACTGCACCTGCTGCCCACCCAGCTGGGGATTGGGACCATTTCACCCCACCCCGGGCACCCAACTGGGTCCCAGCAGCCTCCAACACCACCAAACCCTGGTGGTCAGAGATCTTTTGTTGGTTGCAGAGGTATTGACGTGCCGCCGGAGAAGGGGTCCTGCTCCAGCCAGGGGCAGGGACCTGGGGGGACCCCACAGCAGCCACCCAGGCTCCATAAACCACACCAGGGGTTTCATAAACCCCCAGGATTTATGAAGGCAACAAAGACGGGTTGGGAAACAGCACCTGGTGAGGTAGCAGTGAGGGGAGCTTGTCCCCACAGTGTCCCACACACACACATCCTGTGCCACCACCAGCCTCCCCCTTCCTTGCTAGAAACAACACCCCTGGAGCTGAAATTCCACTGAAAGACAAAAAAAACACCACCCAGGCAAGACACAGCCCTCAGAAGAAACACCACCACCTCCAGGTGGCAAAGCTCACAGCAAACAGGGCATCCCTGGCCTTCTTCCCCATTTCCCGTGTTTTTATTCCCTATTGAAACAGCAAAGTGACAGCAAACAGCAGCGACCCCGAGCTGGCATCTGGGCTCCTGCTGTTCAGACTCCCCCCCACCTCTGACAGCCTCTCTCATGCTGCACAGAAGTTTCTGACACCTATTACTAAGGAAGTATTTTAAATATTTATTCTCCCCCACCCCCTTCTAAAATAGAAAGTAAATATATATTTGTTTAATTTTATATACAACGTGGTTTCAATACACCAATATCGTTTCTTTAAATAGAGATACTGGGGCTTGTTTCTGAAGTCTGTTTTTTTTTGTTTGTTTTCTTAATACAAGTGCTGGGGAGGGGAGTGGATGGAGATCAGAGGGGCTTTCAGACCACAGGACAGCCTTGTCCTGGGAAAGATGGGCACCCCCCTTCACTGCCCTCTTGGTCCCCTGTAACCTCAGGAGAACAAGAACAAAGGCCCCTCTGGGAGAGAAATTGTCAGTTGGCTGGTAAAGCAAAAATCTGGGCTAACTCTCCTCCCCCAGGAAGGGTGCCAGCCCCACCACACCACACGTCCCACCCCACTGAAACCAGTATAAAAAGCCTTAGCTACCACTACAGAGCATGCTTTCCACATCAGAACCCCCCCAGCCCAGCCCACCTGCCCCCCATTTCTCTTGCCCACCCCCTCCCTAGTCATGGTCCTTCAGCCATCCATGCACGTATCAAAAAGTGGGCAGAGCCCTGGGAGGGGATGCTCACCATCACGGGTCCTGAGCTTACCCAGCACCACTGCCACCCAAATGCCAAGGAACTCACAGCTTAGACAGCACAGACCTGTCAGGCCAAACCATCCAGGAATGGGAAAAATGGGGGAAAATGGGGAAAAACATGGCACCCCACTCATGCCATTCACCTGGGACGGGGAGCAGGCTCCCACCTCCAGTCCCTTCCCAGAAACCAGCAGCTCCATACTGGTTCTTGGCACTTGGGGGCTGTACAGGCTGATGGAAATGAAGTGAAATGCTAAGTTTCTTCTTTTGCTGGCACCAGTGTTCCCAAATCAGAGGTGCCATCACTGCTTCCCCAGCCTCCAGTACTTGGCTCCTGCACTTCCACAACAGATTTCAGCCGTCACCTCTAATAGGAACAAACTGCACTTCCCAGCCTCTCCTCCCCAGCAAACACAGGCAGAGAGGAGTGAACATGTTCAGCAAAAGACAAAAAAAAAACAACAACGCCAACACCCAAAACCTAAGCTGAAGGGGTAAAATGGGAATAAAAACCCTGCAAAATGGGAATAAAATTGCCCTGAAGAGCAGCAGGCATCCAGCCCAAATTGGGCCGCCCCCAGAGCCTTCAGTCACTTTGCCTGTACTCTGGCATCATTGGTGAACAAATCCCCTCTTATGTTTCAGATCCTAAAAAGTCCCACTAATGAGGCTTATAAAAAAAAAAGAAAGACACTGTGAAGAACATCTTGTCCTGCTGAGGAGCCACTGTGGGACCGGCTGGCACGGCCGGCGCCGCGTTCCTCAGCCCAAGGGACAAATTTAGCTGCTTCCCTCTCATCCCTTCTGACTCATGCTTTGCTGGGAGGAACAGATGCAGAGCAGAACGTTTTCACATGAGTAACCAGAGAGCAGCATCTAGAGGGGCTTTCAGGGAAGGGCTTCTGCCTGGTGGTGCTTTTTCTTTCAAGGCTCGCACCAGAGATGGGATGTCCCCTTCCTGTGTCATGCCCCATGTGTGTTGGCCATGCAGGAGAGGACCTGTGACTCCTGCTCCTCAAGGTTGTGGCCCAGGGGTGAGTCACATACAGTGAATTAAATAAAAAATAAATAAGATTGAAAGGGGGGAAAATACTTAAAAAACAAAGTGATCTGGATGCAGTGCAGGTCCTGCCTGCCATGGGGCAGCTGTGCCTGGCCACTCCCAAATCTCCCCTGGGCTCTGGCTGCTCCCAGCCCCTCCTGGCTTTCCCATCCCAACCCCTCCCCTTCACCATGGCTCTAAACTCTCCCCTAGACACAAACGTACCCCCCAACATGCAAATCTACTGGACTTCTGCATACCTACCAATCCTTGTCCTACGCTTCTCTATATATTTATATCTCCTATATACAGTGCATTTTATTCCAGCTCCTTGGAAAGATTTCCTTCCTCAAAAAGCATCAACTCTGCCAGCCCACACGGGACCTGTGGGAAGCCCTGAAGGCAGCTGGTCCAGCCTCGCCAAAAAATACCCCCAGCCAAGAACTACAGCTGAAAGCAACCCAAAAGTCCAAGAAATCCCAAATCTATGTCACTGCCTGAAGGAGGAGGATAAACCAAAATGTCAGACAGGTCCTGTCCTAACGCAAACTGCAAGATCTGAGCAGCTCTAAGTCTGAACTTGTGTTGTGCCCAGATGCCACGAGACGTGACTAAGCCCTGCCAGGATTGTGCCTGAGCCCTCTGCACCCCTGGAGGTAGGTACAGAAAAGTTATTATTCCCTGTACATTTAGACACCCGAGCACTGTCCCCTCCAGCCTTCCCCCAAAGCAGGAGGCACTGAACCAGCTGACAAGGAGACAAATGCCAGATCAACAATCTGGAGGCCACCAGCAACTGAAACCAGCCTCCAAGACCCAAGTGACCAGCCAGCAGTGAGGGTTCTGCCCTGGGAAACCCACTGCCTGCTCGCACAGACCCCCCCCACCATCCTGCCAGCTCTGGGGGGCCCACAAACACCCCCAGAGAGACCACAAACCATGCCGGCGGTCCAAGGATGCTGGTGCCTCCCAATGAAGGCTCCAGCCCAGGTTCACACTAGAGGGAGTTGGGGAACAGACCTCCTGACCCTTCACCCTACAACAACGTCACTCCAAGTGCCTGTGGCTGCAGTGAAGAGCAGGCACAGAAACGGGGCCCCACAAGTGAGCCCCAAAGGCTCCCTTCTCTCCCCGCTCACCAACTTCCATTTTCATTCGCATCGACGTCGCAAAATCCAAACCTCTGTGGGTTTTCCCCAGCAAAGTCACCTCCAAACCAGGCCACCTCAATTGCTCAGCAGCTCCCGAGTTCGCTCTGCCCCAACCACCTGCCTGCAAAGGGACGGCGCGGGCTCAAGGGACAGGGTGTGAGGGGCAGCACCCCACAACCACCCCCTCTTTCTGAGGGATCTCAGCGACATGCCCCGTACCTACCTCTCCACTTTATCTCCCCCAGCTTGGGGTGGCTGAATCCTGCAACCCCCCCCAGCAGCATGAAAACAGCACCAGAGCATCCCCACCTCCACCATCTCTCAGGTGGGGGCACCAGCAAGGAACCATGCCCACCAGAACTGACCCCTCGGCGGAGCCCAGGGACAAATATACTTGGAATTCAGAGGCATTGTTTTTTTTTCACCATGGCCCAGGATTTTCCAAGGGACCTAATGAAACACATTGTGTTTGCAACGTGCAAGGAGGAATCGTACGCTTACTGATAAAGCAAGAGCCATCTACCTCAGACAAGCTTACAAAATAAGAGAGTTTGGCCCAGGAAGATAAAAATCAAGATATATTTTTTTGCAGCATGAAAGAGAAAATAAAAAGGAAAAAGAGAAAGAAAAAAAAAAAAGAAAAAGAAAAAGAAATGAAGCAGCAGCAGCTGTGTTTGCAGAACCACCAAAGCGAAAACGGAGTTCAAACAGGGATGATGAAATGGGGGAAGCGTTTTGGCATCGTCTGACACAGCTTCAGCGTCCCAGGTCCGCGGGAGGAGAGAGGAGAAACCCCCTGCAGGGCATGGAAACCAGAGGGCTGGGAGAGGCGAGGAGGTTGCCAAAGCAAGAGGTGAGCTTGTCTGCCAAAGCACGGCCCGAGTCTATCGGAAGGTAACTCGGTTTAGCTGGGAAAGGAGTTAAGGATGGTTTTAGGGAAGAGCCGCTTCCACGAGGCACCCGGGCGGGATTCCCCACTCCAGCAGCGCGGCAGGCAGAGGGCTGAAAGAGAGAGGGCTGCAGCTCCAGCCTCTAAAGGTCGAAGACCATGAAAAGCAGGGTGCCCAGCGGCTCAAAACACCTGCAAAAGGAAAACAACTCTCAAAAAGACTGACCCCGGCAAGCCGGCGCGCTCTGCCAACCTTCCCTGCACTCCAGGTCCTCTTAGAGCTCCTTAAGACGGGACAGGGCCACGGTCTTGAGGTGGCAGCCTCAAGAGCCTGAAGACATCGCCTTGCCCGTACGAACGGGTGTCATGAATAGTTTGGAAAGCACTCAAAGGAAAAACCAGCCTTCTGTTAGAGAAGTCAAGGCAATGAGAGCGAAAGGAAGAGCAAGTCAGCTACAGCATGGCCAGCACAAAAGCCTCTGCGTGTCCCCCCCAGCTGGGACATCCCCAGGTTGTCACCTGTCCGTGGGGAGCAGCCCGGCTCACCGCTCCGCTGGAGTGACCGGCGAGCTGGAGTTTGCCAGGCAGAGTTTTCCCCACTGCCGGAGCGGGAGAATGGCATGAAATCAATTCAGATCCGAGCAGATTCTAGGGAAATCCCTAAAACACACTCAAAGAAAAGAAACTCGCAGTCATACCGTTAAGCAAAGTCGAATTCTCACGTGGAGAGCTGAGGGTGGTACATCAGGTCGCTCGTCGCGGACTCAATAAAAAGCCCTGGCGTAGGCTGGGAAGAGAGGGCATTTCTAGGAGAGCCTCCCTCCTTCCCAAACCTGCTCATGGTTTGAAGCCCACCTACACAAAGCTGTTGAAGCTCAGAAGCATCTCGTTACTGATTTAGAGGATTTGTTGTCAAGTGGTTCAAACCTGAAGTCAGGGCTTTGAGAGTGGAAAAGACGCAGTGCTCGGCTTTTCGTGGTTGCAGGTTTCTGAGTATCCTGCTGGAAGAGGAAGCACAACCTCTAAAACCAGGTATTTCTAAGGCAGAGTGATAAACAGGTTCCAACCTAAAAGCTCCCAGGGAGCATGGCATGGTTGGAATGCTGTATCCCGACTGCCCAGCTGAGAGCTCATGTCTTTCTCCAAACATCTAAGCCCTTCGAGGTTCAACCAGCAGCAAGAGCAATAACCAAGGCAAAGCAGAATTAAAGGCGAGATTGTGGAGAATCTCTTGGCAATTCTACCTGGGAATAAACAAAAGTTTCATGTGCAAATGAGGAGCCTGGGGCAAAAAAAAACATGCCCACAGGCTCTTTGATTCTCCTGATGCTTCTACAGCCTGAATCCACTCCCAGCAAGAATATCCACATGAAACAGTTGGTATTTTATTCCCAGGCAGGCTGGAGGGTTTAGCACTTTACCACAGAGGAAGAAGTGTGCAAACCTGGATGCAGTGGTTGATTTCACCACTTCAAAAAAAAATAGGAATAATCTCTAAATACCTCAAAGGTAGGGATCACTTGGTATTAGCACTCAGCGTTTACGTAGCACTTGCACTCTGTAGGTGACCAAGTGCTTGTCCAAAGTGCTCAAATATGACTTATCCCCATTTTACAGATGGGAGAACTGAGGCACAGAGAGGTTGAGTGACTTGCCCAAGGCCACGCAGTCAGAGAGTGGAGGCAGAGCAGGAAAGTGAGCCCGGCTGTTCTGGGAGTGGGCTACAACTTTCCTGCTAATTCAAAAGAAGGAACAACAAAAAAATAAAAAGGCCTATGCAATCCAGAAAACCACCGGCCACCAAACCTACCCTAAGTGTTTTGAAGAGGAAATACATTCTGGTGAAGAGTTAAACCAGCATTACCAGGAGGGGAACAGCAGGTCTCCTGGGATGGGGCAAAGGGAGGGACACAACCCCGGCGGGTGTCACAGCCTACACGGCCAGGCTGGAGCAGGAGAAAGAAAGGAAAACCAGTGAAACCAGCAGCAACATGACACAGAACACTGGGCTTAGCTTTGCGTGGTCACTCCCAGGAGCCATCATCTCCATCCACAGAGCTGAGGGATTTTCCTGGGCTCAGCATCTGCCAACAGAGGCTTTGGGGACCACGCAGCCAAACCCCCTTCGCCCACAAGCCTGTGGCAGCATCGCCCCGTTTTGCAGTTATGAATAAAGATCATAAATGTTACCCTGGTAAGAAACATCACTACACAGCACTGGAGAACATTTGCCAGTGGTACACGGAGTGACGGGAAAACTGAATCAAAACCACCCTCATCAAAGCTGACACACACTGTGCTTGAGGGGGGACAACCTCTTGGATGGACACAGTCCCATACCTGTGTGTTCATACACCTCAACAAGGTTCAAATGCATTTGCACAGACAAATGGGGATTTCTTAGACCAATTTGAAGGCTCAGGGTCTGTCTGGTTTTTCCCTTTCAGAGACGGGTAAGGAAAGATGTCACGGATGGTTTTGTTGCTGTTTTCTTCAAATAAAAGGAGGCTGGGAAGGGGGAGGCATGGAGATTTTTCGCTATTACAGCTTTCCTGGGATTATTTGGCCATGTTTTTATCATAATCAGATTCATGGGATTACCAGTTCCCGTCTGGGTTGTTAGTTTCTTGTCAATTAATTACACCCCTGTGTCATTTAATTTCTTCCGGCGACTGAGGGCCAGCTGCTCGAACCACACACCCTCCCTAAATACACGCTGCAGAAGCAGATGTCAAAAGCTCCATCTATGCCTTTTAACCCTAAGAGATCTTTCCCAAAACCGAGATGCAACACTCCCCCTTCCCACCCCACAGAAGCCATGCGGGGTGGGAGGAGAAGCAGATCCAAGGGGCACCCAGCCCCCAGGCATCCTCCCCACCCCACCCCAAAGCCCCCCCAGCTCACCCCCAAGCCCCCCAGCAGAGGCAGCAGCGTGGTGGTGTCCCCCCCCCGCTTCCTCTCCCACTGCCTCCATTTCCACCTCAGCCCCGTGGCGAGCTGTTTGGCTCC